TTAAGCAGTTCTTAAAGCATTCCACTGCTTTCCTAATCCAAACTCCCAGAGTCCATATTACTACAAACAAAAACATGGTCAGGCCTATCACAGCAATACCCCAGTCCCTGGTACCAACTTCTGTCTTAGTTAGCATCTCTATTACTGTGAAGAAACACCATGACCACAGCAACTCTTATAAATGAAAACATTTAATTGAGGGGACTCAGTTACAGATTCAGAGATTCAGTCCAATATCATCATGGTGGGATATGGTGGCATGCAGGCAGATGAGGTGCTTGAGGAGCAGGTGAGAGTTCTACATCTTGCAGGCAACAGGCAGTGGTCTGAGACACTGGGTGGTATCCTGAGTATAGGACACCTCAGAGCCCATCTCCACAGTGACAGACTTTCCCCAACAAGGCCACACCTATTTTAACAAAGCTACGCCTCCTAATAGTGCCACTCCCTATGGTATTATGGGGGCCAATTTAAACTGCCACAGCACCTAAGAGTGCTTACTGCCTGCTCTTCCTGGGGGCCAGAGTTTGGTTCCCAGCCCCAACATGATGGCTTACAACCACCTGTAACTTGATTCCAGGGACTCTGACACCCTCTTCTGACCTCTGGAGGCACCCACACATATGGCACCCACACACAGAGACACATACACACATACATTAAAATTAAAATAAATCTTTAAAAAATTCCAACATGGAGGCAGGAGAGCAATCTGAGTTCCCCCCCCACCCCCACCCCACCCCACTCCACCCCCAAGCCCCAGCTGAGGAGCTGTTGGCTGTTAATGGCTGCTACAGTAGGGAAAGTCGCTTTTCTTTGAGGGGTGGCCACTAGCAGGTTGGCCATGCCCCAGTGGACAACCCCACAGCCATGTGCTTGTAGGCATTACTGATTACACTCGGTGGGTTGTTTTTCTGTTTGTTTGTTTGTTTGTTTTTTTAAAGAAGATTTAAAACTGGAAGGGAGATCTAATGGGGAGGGGATAGGGGGATTGAAGGGAGAGAGTGAGGAGCAGATGTTCAACACACATTGTACATATCAACAAAATTTTTAAAGAATAAAATAAAAGTTAAAAATAAGGTGGGCCGGGCGGTGGTGGCGCACGCCTTTAATCCCAGCACTCGGGAGGCAGAGCCAGGCGGATCTCTGTGAGTTCGAGGCCAGCCTGGGCTAC